TTTCTATCATTAATGATAAAGCTTTATTTTCTTAAAGTACTAAATATACCTGAATTATCGTTGAGTGAACGTGATTGAATGAGTGTAATCATTTCAAGAATATAATCATATATCTTTCGACATATAGTAACAGGATTTTTAATGAAATCCATTGATGACACTAAAGAACGAGAACGAGTTGGCGCAATCTATTAATAATAAAAAAAAAGAATATTTCATCAATCTTCTTTTGTTTTCTTTTATTAACTATATCATAATCTTCTGCTGTAAATTGTCGATCTTTTGCTAAAAGATCATGTAATGTTCGCTTGACTTTTTGTTGTTCTTTTGTTGAATCAACATCATTATCAAGTAAACCATTTGTATTTGCACTTTTAACCATTTGTACAAGTATTGGGGCTAATTCACCATCAAGTGCTAATAATCCTTTAGCAAAAGCAGCAGCTGTCATTTGCACACGCCCTTCATCTGATGCATAAATTTTTAAATCGTGTCGAAATGTGGAATGTAAACGAAGAAGACCAACATCAGGTCGATCACCACCAGCACTTTGTCCACCGGGATACATTTTACGAAATGCCTTATAGAATCAAATTCAATAAATTAAATTGAAAAAAAAATGTTCTTACTTTGCCAAGTACTTCAGCTTGATTTTTCCCTGTTTGAGTTAATTGTCCACCCCATTTAACTATTAAGAGTAATGATGGTTGTGGTGATACGTTGTTAGGTTCTGAATAGAAAGATTAACAAAATAAATAAATCGTTTTTATCTTATTGAGAATGAAAAATCTTCATCATTTACCATCATCACTACTAGTTTTTTTCGGTAGACCTTTTGATAAATATTTTAATTGAATTTTTCGATTAATACCAGAAAAATGTCCATATAATTCTAATACTTGTTTAAGTTGAAATAATTTTACTCTTGTTTCAGATGAATTAGGAAATCGCTGAAATAAAAATCAGATGTTTTTTTTCATAATTAAAAAAAGTATATTTTTAATTTTACATTCGTTCGATTATCATTAAGTTCTTTGATTAATATTCGAGTTATATCAAGAACTTCCTATAAATAATAAATTGAATTCAAGAAATAGTAAACAAATTTAAACAAACTTGAAGTTGACCGGGATGTTTTAATTTCAGATGACCTGTTTTTGGACCATTATATTTTTCGAATAATTGAAAAAATCTTTTAATAAAACACAAAAATCAAAATCAATGATGAATATTTATAGTGGTGAACATAAATTTAGAGGGATTATATTTTTGAAGTTTTCTTCTCGAAGATAATAGCTAGAAATAATCTGAAAAAACTTTCGAGTAGCTCAAATGATTCTATATCACATTTTGTGGACCTAAAAATTCCAACAGAACTATTTGAATGAGGATGTCTGAAAAACCAAGACTCATAAAACTAGTTTTCTGGTATCCATTTGAAGCTTTTTCGAAATGGTTTTAGTTGATAGAGCAAAATGATATGTCTCACGAGGGAACCTTTTCAACTGTCCAATCGCTTTTGAGTTCGAACTCA